ACAGTGGACGCAGGAACAGATTGTCCATGCTTTTCCACAAAAACTTAGAATGCAATTATTTCTTGCAATTTGGAGAAGGTGCCAATAATTTTGTGCAAACCATTTTTGGAGTTTTGCGTGGAATGTGCCAGGTTTGGGTTTTTTTTCTCAACTTTTTTTTTTGTCATACCAATACAAACAAAATAAATAAACATGAGAATGCATAAACATTTGTAATTGCAACAATTTTCTGTGCGAAGTGGTGCATGAACTGACAGAAATTCAGGGGTGCCAATATTTTTGGCCATGACGGTATATATATATATACTTGGCTCAGCACGATATACTGTATGTAGCCGAAGCTACATACAGTATACCGTATCCTTCCATATGTACCCGGCGTATAAGACGACCCCCGATTTTCGGGGGATGTTTTAAGGTCTCAAAACCCGTCTTATACGCCGGCAAATACGGTATATATATATATACATATACTAGTTTTTTTTATCCTGCATTGTATTCTGAACCGGCTGAAATTCAAAGAACGTTTTTATTTGTGCATAAAAACACATATGTAACTCTCATTTTTGCTTCATACTTGAAAAAGGAGGACATACCCTGATTATCTAATTGCTAAGAAGGTGATGAACGGCTGGTGCTGTAGAACTTATCATTGGGATTTGATTAAACAAGAGAAATAAGGCTGCTTTACCAAAGGAGTACAGCAAATAAGGTGAAGCTGTGTTCACTTTGCATACCTTATGTACAAGGGAAATAGAAACATTTTAAATTTTTGCTTACACCTGATTGTATTGAAGACAAGTTCACTTGGTTCATTAAGCTAAGTGAACCTTCACTTTGCAAAGTGAACATGCTCTATTTCTTTAGTAAACCACCATCAAAGTTTCTTCATGAGTTTCTAAACCATCACTTATCTCTAACTGCAAAATAGACCCAAAGTTTTGTGCGCTTTTTGTTTCTTCATTTTCCTTTATAACTAGCCCCCTTTAAGTGTCCTTGTTACTACAGTCCCACTGAAAAAAACCTGTATACAATGTCAAGTCTTTATACATGACAGTGTCCTTGCACTGTTCCACCATGACAGCCAAGAACTGTCATACGTACGTTTATACGTACAGCATTCCTCCGTGATACATTGGAAATACTTGGGAATTTTACATAATATTACTAAGGAGTGATGTCACTAAGCTCCACCCGTCTTTTCAAATAACACTGCACCCCATCACATACACAAATTGTTGGCTTAGGGTAGGAACTATTATCTTTACTTCCTGTTGGCAGATATTCCAGTTCATATATTTTTCCCTCTGAGTCCCAGGCCAGCCCAAAGTCTACAAGCTTTACATTTAAAGTGGAACTTTATCCATATCTTTGAAAAGACAACCAACACACCTTTAGAAATGTTTACTAATGGCAATCTACAAACAGATACATTTAGATAATTGCCGGCTTTTTATTTTTTGCATACCTTACTTTTCTTTTCCTTCCCATTCTTCTCATGGTGGTCATTTTTACTAAGGGCAGATTAAAATATGTCCCTTTACTTCCTGGAACACTGGCACATGTGACTAGGACAGAACTGCATGCTGATGTGAAAAGGGGTAAAGTGCCACTTTAAGATTGTAGGAGGGAGTACTAAGGACATATCAGCAGCTGTAATGGTAACTAATAAGGTTTAAAGTACATCTAAAAGTGCAACGCTAAAGCATTTTTTTTTAGTTCTGGACAAAGTGAAAAATGATTGGGTTTTTATTTCTGTCTATGTACTCACTTACAGACATTAATAAAGATCTGCCATAGGTTCTAACCCTTTCTGCCCAAAATAAAAAAAAAATGTCTAGAAGCCCACTTTAAATAAATGAGAAGTATATCTACATGCATGAACACATATATCAATAAAATGACCCTAGTACAATATACTACACTTAGACTTAGGGCTGCAACCAACTAATCGATTGATCGATAATAAATGATTATGAGAATAGTTGTCAACTGTTCTCATTATCAGTTAGTTGGTTGGATCCGCTAGCTCTCTCCGCCATGCTGGGAGGAGGGCACAGCAAGCAGTGGGCGGGTGCAATAACCAGCCTGCTATTGGCTATTGCAATTTGAAATGGCCAATACCAGGCTGGCTATTGCACGAGCCCACTACCTGCTGTATTTACATTCAGCTGCCGTCTGCAGAATTTTGCCACTGGCAGCTGTCATTCCCTGGCTGAAGCTATTCCAGCGCCATGTGCTTACAACACAATTATTTACACAACACAATTATTTTAAAAAAATGATAAATGGTGGGAAAAAGTCATTTGCAGTATTAGCCGGACAAATTCTGCTGTTGGAAGTGCATTGCAGTGCCATTCATTTCAATGGCACTCCAAACTCGCCTCCCACCCACAGTGTGATCGCCTGCACAGGAACGCACGGTACCGCAATGCTGTGCCTTCCAGTGCAGTGCAATGGCTAAAAATTGTGCATGCAATTTTCTTCTGAAGTAAACTTTATGTTTGTAACACTGCATTTGTGTATTTTATTTTAAATTAAGGATGGTATTTTTTTGTTTTTTTTTAATCCAATTAATCTACTAATCGATTATGAAAATAATCATTAGTTCCAGCCCTACTTAGAGCTTGATGGCACAATACTATATTATAGATACGGATGTAAACTTAATCATTTTCAGAAACTAAAAGCAGTAATAATTCTGTTCACATAGGCCAGATCTATATCACTGGAAATCTGCAGGCTGTATTGTTCAGACAGGTAATCTGGACCACATACTGGGCACCAGACATTAGGACAAAGACATACGAGCAGTATAACTCCATTTTTCTGTCTGTACAAGTTCACGCCGTCATATAATGTTGTAGTCAGTGTTACATGCCAAGATGTGATCTAAAAATATCACTTTTTTCCTGCTGCTCAGTTGGCAGCTTTGTGTTTGCCAATCGCAGTTGCCAGCTCTGCAGGCACATACACAGCCATTACAGCGAATAATCCTGGCCATGTCTAGGAAGAAACTAGGTCCTGTGATAAAACAGTAGCAACATTCTTCTGCTGACTCGAGTATAAGCCGAGGGGGGCACTTTTCACCCAAAAAAATGGGCTGAAAATCTCGGCTTATACTCGAGTATATACGGTATTCATTTTATTGGCAGAAGCACTGTGCACAAAGGTCTGCCATACAGCAATCTGTCTCGCAGGACTTCAGTCCTGATTAGTGTTGCAAGCAGCTCTCATTTGGTATTTGGAAATCAATCAGCCCTGCCTGGCACCAGAAGGAATGGACTGGTATAGTGTTCATGGAACAAGGGAGATCTGGGAAGTGACAAAGCAGCCTCTCCTATAGAATGCGGCTGCTTTGTGATATTAGAAAACTGGGCTACAGACTGTTACATGTTAAAAGTTGTATTTAAAGAGACCCTGTGGCCAGACCATTTATTCCAACAAAAGATTATATGTGCATTTAACATATTTTATGCATGTTATTTACCTGTAAAAACCAACTTTGTATACATCCAAAAGGCCTGAGACTGTAGCTGGGTGCCGCCATCTTGGATGTGATGTCAGAAGCTGCAGCAGACTCCGAGCTTTCACTGAAGTGACACTCTATAGCAGGTGTAGGCAAACTCCAGCCCTCCAGCTATGTTGCAACTACAAATCCCCTTATGCATTGCAAGACTCTGACAGCCACAGGCATGACTCTAAGAGGCAGATGTATGATGGGATTTATAGTTACACCTCAGCTAGAGGGGTGGAGTTTGCCTACCCCTGCTTTATAGCAATCATATTTGCTCCTCCCCCAGTAGCTACATAAAAGTTTATGTAGGGAGATGGGGCGAGCAGAGGACCCTGGTTAGACAGTAATTAGACACTCCCAGGAAAGGGCTAAGAAAAACACAGCAAGTAAGCATTTCAAATACTTGTTTTTTTTCTGTAATTACAGGTGCGGAGTGAAGAGGGCTTAAGCTTTATTTTTAATATTGAATCCAGATCAAACAAATATACATTGCCCAGCAAAATATTTATTTACAATTTGCACTTGCACTCATCATATATCTTAACAATTGACTCCAACTCTCTAAGCTCGGCTTTCCTGAACTTTCTGTCCAGTACAAGATCACAAGGGATCACTGGCTGGAGAAGGGAAGAAGGAGGAGCAGGGGAGCAGCTTGCCCTGCTGTGCCTGTGTGTTTGTGGACACACACACAGCTTTCCAACGCACACAAGGGTGGCTCCAAAAGATCCTGCAAAGGAAAGGAGCCACCCTAAAACAGGATATCAGGACCACTGCTCAGGAGACCAGCTGATTCTGCAGGAAACTACAAAGTTTAAACATCAAGAAACATCATCTTTTTTTACTTTAATAGCACTTGAATGATAAACACTGTTGCCTTATTTATGTATGATCCCTTTGCCAGCTTCTGCCACATGAAAGAAAGTCACTTGTCGAAATCTTTCTTCGGACCTGCACTGTGCTTAAAATGTCTTTGCAGATGCCCATCCCTCCTTTTTTTCCAAGTCCCTGCAATGCCCATCAATCAGTGACATACTTGTGCCAGGCCCAACTCCCTTGATATCACCACCATCAGCTACAGAAACACATGCATCTAGTTTTTTTCTGGGCCGTATTTAGAGGAAGCAGATGATATGCGGTCAAGGAGGAGAGCGGAATGGGTCTTCCTTATGGGCTCCTTTGCAGTACCATGGGTTCCAGTACCGACAGTCTGCCTTGGATCCATAGCCTTCTATGGATGAGGGAAAATGTCCTATCAAAGATACCTATTTACTAAAATAAAATAAAAAATACAGCCTGCAGTGTTTCATTCTAGCAGACCATTGTGCTAACTATACCTTTAGCTTTACCAAGCACTAATCTGTAATGCAGTTATCATATGTTCACAGAGCAGAGTAACTGCATACATATTAACAGTCCTTTTTATGTTTGCTACTACAATTACACAGGGTTAGAAAACACTTTCAGTATAAATATGCATTCATACCTGCAGCAGTTGTGATCTCCCAAACCTCCCTCTCCATTGGGGTATTTCAAAGTGTTGTATGGATGCTGAAAGGTCTCATTCCAGAAGAGGCAAGGCTTCCCACAGTCCAAGGATGTCTGGCTCTGTGTCCCTCGGTAATCAGCCCCATTCACAGTGTAGCATTCTAATAAATAAATATAGTATGATGTTAGGGATGCAATGTGTTTTGATTGTGATGTGCTAGTCTGTGAATGATAAAGACAATTCTAGATAATATAGACCTAGTAGTATACATTCTATATACACTATATATAGTATAGATTTCTAGAAGTATAAATCTTTAACACCTGGGACTGTTTCAGTTTCAGGCACACTGGGCATCTATGAGCTTGCTCCACATCGATCACAACTAAGGGGCATACAGTCATGGCTAAAAATATTGGCACCCCTGCATTTTACTGACAGATAATGCACCAATTCGCGCAGAAAAGTTTAGCAATTATAAATATTTAGGCATTCTCAAGTTTATTTCTTTTGTTTGTATTGGTATGACACAAAAAAGTTGAGAAAAGAAAAGCCAAACCTGACACATTCCACGCAAAACTGCAAAAATGGACTGGACAAAATGATTGGCACCTTCTCCAAATTGCAAGAAATAATTGCATTCCAAGTTTGTGGTGCTAATTTGTAATTAAAGTCACCTGTATCAATTAACAGGTGCTGACAATATAGAAATCACACCGGCAACCTGTTAAAATGGTGAAAAATGTACTCAACCTTTCTGTTGTGTGTCTGTGTGCCACACGGAGCATGGAGAAGAGAAAGAGCACCAAATAATTGTCTTAGGATTTGAGAACAAAAATTGTGGAAAAGCATGGACAATCTTAAGGTTACAAGTCCATCTTCAGAGATCTTAATGTTCCTGTGTCCACTGTGTGCAACATTTTCAAGAAGTTTACAGCCCATACCACTGTAACTAATCTCCCTGGGCGCGGATGGCAGAGAACAATTGATCAAAGATTGCAACAAAGGATTGTTCGAATGGTGGATAAAGACCCTCCATGAACTTGCAGACAAATTCAAGCTGACCTTCAGGTCCAGGATACAACTGTGTCAGCTCACACTATACGTCGACATCTGAATGATAAGGGATGCTATGTTTGGAGACCCAGGAGGACCCCACTGCTGACACAGAAACATGAAAAAGCCAGATTGGAGTTTGCCAAAACTTACCTGAGGAAGCCAAAATCCTTTTGGGAGAATGTGCTGTGGACAGACGAAACAAAATGACAGCTCTTTGGTAAAGCCCATCATTCTACTGTTTTCAGAAAATAAATGAGGCCTTTAAAGACAAAAATACAGTCCCTACAGTTAAACATGGTGGCGGTTCACTGATGTTATAGGCTTGCTTTGCTGCTGAAGGCACTGGATGTCTTGACTGTGTGCACGGCATTATGAAATCTGAAGACTACCAAAGAAAGCTGGGGTGCAATGTAGGGCCTAGTGTCAGAAAGTTGGGTCTCCGTCAGAGGTCATGGGTCTTACAGCAGGACAATGACCCAAAGCACACATCAAAAAGCACCCAGAAATGGTTTCAGACAAAGCGCTGGAGAGTACTGGACTGGCTGCCAATGAGTCCAGATCCAAATCCCATAGAACACCCTACCAATCCCCCATACAATGTAAAAAGAGACTGACAATTAAAAAAGCTTGCCTCTCACTTGACCACGCTCCTGCAAGACCTATGATGTGCAGCCCACAGGGAGTCATACAGCCTCTGATGCAGACTCTCCCAGCTTGTCCCTCGTCTTCTGTGCATGTATGGGGAAAACAAAATCACAATTATTCCTATGGAGAGACCTTCATAAGACGTTCCAATGATAGACGGCCTCTCTATAGAAGTGAATGTGATTTTTCCAGTGGGTGCAGAAGAAGCAAGGTGGTGGGAGAGTTTGCAGAGGCCACTGCGTGGCTCCCTATAGGCCCCACAGTGAGATCTGGTAGGGAGGCAGATAGATAATTATAAGACTTTGGGAGTTTGTGGGGGAGTTTAAGTATAACTTAAAGCTGAACTCTGTGAAAATCAAATCTTAACCTTTGCAGCGAGGCTACCCCTGCACTGCAAGGGTTAAGTGTTCGTTTTGTCTATGGAGCTAAAATACCAAAGTTATACTCACCTGGACCACGATTCTGGCTTGCTCTTAGTCCGGTCCCTTCAGCCTCACTCGCCCTCTGCTCAGCGGTCTAAGGTCCTGTGAGTCATAACATCTTATACAGTGTATTGGATGTGACGCCGCCGGGTGACATACCATCTCTGGAGCAGAGGAGGTGACGGGCTGGAGGGAGCAGTGTAAGAGAAAGCCAGGATTGTGCTTTGGGCGAGTATAACTTTGTTATTTTAGCTCCCTTAGCAAAACAAGCACTTAAACCTTGCAGTACGGGGTAGCCTTCCTGCAAGGGCTAAGATTTGATTCACCTGAAGTTCTGCTTTAAAACATAACCATATGAGATTATATTTATCCTTTCAAAGTACAGTTACGCTTTGTCAGATGCCAAAAACCAACCATTTGAATTTACCTTTATAGATATAACAAACTTAAAATAATTTTATTGAGATAAGAGGCATGACAAATGCAGGTGAAGTGTATGTAAACACAAACAATGAACTTCCCTTATTTACTCCTCTTTGGCCTGTTAAATACACCATTCAATGCAGCTCGTTATATATCTTTTAAGTGCAAAAAAAAATAACTCTTGTGTTTGCTACAAATCCACAAGTGCATCATGTGCACTCTGCAATATTATTTCAGGCAGTGCGATCACCCCCTTTTTTGTTTTTGTTTTCTATGCAAAAACAGAGCACCTCCCCAAACACACTTCCTGAGACATATCTGCTCTTCCATAGATACAATGCACAGGGCTGGATTTACTCTCTCTCTGCTGCCCCAAGGCCAAGTTCCTCAATATGTCACCCTACCTGCTAACCCCCCCAATGGAGAATGGCAGACCTGCAGGCTGCATGCATACAAAATAAGTGGCGGCTTCCCCACTGCATGTCCCGGGTGTCAGGAGATAGGAATTCCACACCCCTGCTGCCCCTCTACTCCCTGCTGCCCCAAGGCCGGGCCTTGGTTGGCCTTGTGGGAAATCGGGCCCTGACAATACAGTGAGTGATAATGAGTACATGAAGTGTATTACTTGCAGGATCACCAGGTGAAATGAAACCAAAAACCACCAAAAAAACAGAAAAAAGAAAACTAATGCAGCCACTACAGGATTGATAAACTACAATAAAATGTATGTTCTTGTGTTTAGGTACACTTTCATTTCCTGTTTAGGAGCCACATTGAACAACTCTGTAAGTAATCTCTTATACTGTAAGTGTTACAAATGTCATAGAACTCAAAACAATAGGCTGCACTACAAGAGTGCTGATGTACAAGTAGAAACAAGACAAAACTAAATGTACAGACATTTAAAAAATGAAAAATTTAAAATGCTGGGCAACTCTTCCATATCTCTTATAACACTCATGTACACTGTAGATTAAAGTGAAAACCATCAAAGGTACTCAAATCTGCACATTTCTACCTGGTTACTAGTATTTCCAGTCAAGGGCTATGCAGTTGTTTTCAGTTGTTTTGAAAAGCATTGCTTTCCATTGGATCTGAAAGCCACAGTGCAATCTAGATAAGAACTATTTCTGATAATTGTTCCAGCAACCACAGTGCATGATCTATTGTTCAGCGGAGGAGCAAAGTCAAAAGGTTATTTCAGAACAAGCAACACAAATACTTGAAAGGCATAATAGAAATATATCCTTATGTTTTTCAGAATGGTGAAAGTTGGACATGTTAAAGTGCAAATGAAGCCAAAACTTTTTTTTTTCAGATTTGGATAGTGTTTTTAGGTTTATAGGTTTTTATTGATAACCATTAGAGAGATTCACCCTCTCTATTTGTCCTGGTGACTGTTATCACTGAAAGTGAAAGAAAATCTCAAATGTTGGGTACAAGAATAGAGGGTAAATCTTCCAATGGGGACATTAGTTCTGGTAAACCTGCTGATTAATAAGATTTTCCCTCTTTTTGGAGGAATTTTCCTGTTGTGATTATTGGACAGCAAGTGAAGGGAAATCTCCCCAATGGGACACAGATGGCAAAAAATGGTTATAACCCTCCTCAGAAAAGTTTTGGCTCCAGTTCTACTTTAAATGTGACACATGCGTGGGAAAGCAGAACTCATAACATGAGGAAGAGCTACTGAGGTTTGCACAGCGGAAGCACACTGTATGTCACTACCTTCTCCACAATTTATTGAATATTTGAAAACTACTTGATGTAATGTAGTGACAAAGGAAATGCCATCAATCAATTCCAAAATGTTAGAAATGTTAAGATAGGAAATGTTTTTTTTTCAATAGGTTTTTCATTGAGCTTCACAAAGGAAAAAGTAAATGCCGTCAATTTATGATATATCATACAAGTACAGGTATCAACCAGAACCGTCACATTCACAGTCACCTTACAGTGCCAAAGGAAGATCAATAAAAGAACGCCAGCTTGCCTAATGTGTTGTAACATTGTAAGTAAGGGAGCCTAAAGGGCTAGATTGTCTACTCATAAGTGTGATAGACTGTGTGGTGGTTATA